ATATTAGGAACAATCCTCCGAATACGTATGACAGCTCCACAGAGGCTCCAACCCTGGAGGAATACAAGAGCATTAACAAGAGTCACATCAATATCAAGGACTCTAGAACAAGCCACCCGGCTTCTTTTCTCTCTCTTACTGGCTACGAAGACAAACTGGTGCTCGACGCACATTACGAGATAGTTCGCAATAGGATGGCCGGTGTTAACGAGAAGAGAGAATACATTGAAGGCTCAAACCCAGACAGCGTATCGCTAAACCTAGTGGTATTCAACTGGGGAAATATGGATCGAGCGCCGGTGCCCGCAGGGAATCCCAAAAAGAAGCTCAAACCTGAGAAGGGATTCGATTATCACCCTCTTATTGACATGTGCTTCAACAATTCAGCTCATATTACCCTCGTACTCGAGGCAGGAGCACTTGCGTCAGAGTATTCGATCGCAACCATGCGACAACATGAATACAGGGGGATGCTAATCCATTCTCCTCCCAAGGAGCCTGAGGCACCCTCGATGTATATTGGAGTCAAGGGTGACCCAACAACAGACATCGCTCTCGTCCACCACTTTTACCGTCATCGAACAATGAAGCCTAAGAATGGTGGTCCCAAGAAGCGACTGTGGGCATGCCACGGTGCGGTATGCCGCCTCACCTTTGGGTACCACAGTACCATCCAGGAGGCAAAAGAATGGGTCCACCCATATTCTGGCCAAAGGATGACGAGAGACGAGTTCATGCAGATTATCGGATATGACCCACTCAAGGGCAAAAATCCTGACAAGGATGGACCCACTGATGGCTCTTACCTCTCACCAGAGGCGTGCCTGACACTGTCGAACCTCGACCCCTCGCCGGTTCTCTGTGAATGGAACGGCCATGTCGAGGGTGATGAGCCACCAGAGGAAGACTTTGAGTCATACGCAGAGATCTTCTCACAAGAAGCATCGAACGATCTTGACGAGATGTGGTGTACAAAAGGGCCTTACAAGGTCATCACCATCGCGATCGTCCATTTCAACTCATTCATGACTCATAAGGAAGAACAGAGACGCGAACTGGTGAACGCGTTCCTCAACGAGATTCTCCCTTTTAAACCGGATGTAATAGCGGGAGATCTCAATAATATTGCGTCGAGGCTCACCTTAAAAGGTGGAGACGTTCACCCGCGAAACAGTTTGTTTTCTCTATACCTGGAGAAGAAACTTGCAGCATTCAACAAAATAGCAGGAAGGCACTCACAAGTGCGACATCTTTGCTTGAACAACTCCGACCAGCACAGACTGGCACGTGCAGATCGTCTACCGGCGGACCCGGCGAAGAAAGTTGCTGACCTTGACTGTATCAACAGTTATATCCTTGACTGGAGTAAAACGCCGCACACGGCGTCACCTAGTCCAAGAGATGTTACACCTGCCGCCGAAAGAACATACTGGGAGCGAATCTCAGATATGTGGCAGGACATGAACAATAACAGGGATATTGATATCCGTCTGTTTGTCTCGGTCAAGCAGTACTATTCAACTTTTTCTAACCTTGACCTATGGTTGAGTCCCTCTGACAAAGATTGGCACAGCCCTTTGGGCTTCACGATACAACCAATCCTTACAAAAGGGAAACACAACCGGTCAGATGCCCAGGTTCAGAAAATCGCTGACAAGCGAAAGGCTTTCAAGCAGCGTAATGCTGAATACTGGGGTTACAAAGATTCATTCGTTTACTCATCCGGCAACAGCTGGTACGACAGATCGCAACCATCAGGTAGCCATCACAGATACGGAAGATTCTGGGAATGGCCACAGCCTGAACGTCCCAGCGAGCCTTAAGGTCCTCCTCCAAGAAGGAACCAGGAATCATCGTCCTCTTCACAACAAGATCTACCAAGATCAAGGTCCAGGCCTCAAAGAACCAATATTGTTGACAAGCTCAACATGTCTTTGGAAGAGCTGGATGGACTAGAAGAGGAACCGTCACCAACAAAAAGTGACATAGAAGAACACGAAAGAGAAACATCAAACTTGATGTCTGCTCAGAGAGATGAAGAGGAACAAGAGGACGCATCCTCCAGCCGGAGAAGAAGAAGGAAGGCATCGCGTCCACCGTCTGCTCCGAGCGGCAAGGCACTCAGAACAGCTGCTACAGCAGCGGGATTGTCGGGCTGGTTCGGACACCGCAACCGAGGTGGAGCGAACGCAGAGTCTATCAAGACTGATGAAACTTCACTTCCAAACTCACTAACCAGTGAGCAGGACTTTTCCGTCTTCAGCATCGCGTGGAATGTGTTTCTGCTGCTAATGGGCTTACACTGGATGTGGAAGCAGATTACCAGGCCTCCTATTAGATGTATGGAGCGCCAACAACCAAAATCAAAAGCAGCAGTGACCAAAGAGTCAATTCCTCAACACGAGGATGAACGCAGACACGTGAAACGTAGGACCCAACAGGGTCAATGCCGGAGAAGGAAGAAAAAAATGATCTGCGAACTATATGCATACTTTACCGAAGCGGAAGTCTACCATCTCCAGACAGCGGTCCCGCTCAAGCAAGAAAGAGATGTTTGCAAAAAGGGCTGTGCAAAAAACTGCTCCATGCCAGTACAAGTGCGGAGAGATTCGCTAGGAACGATCCTCCAATAGAGTTGATACACGCCCACGTGGCCACCGAAAGCGACGTTGAGCGCTTCCAGACTACGATGAGCACGTAACAATATCATATGGACACAATATTCAAGGAGCCTTGCCTGCACAAATGGCCGAAGAAGACATGCGATACCTATACATCGATCACCCAGGGATCCTCGGAAAGGCCAGAGGTACCTCTGCACTCTTCAAGTTGCCGCATCGTCATGAGGTCCCAAGGCAATGCCACCAGTGCCTAACAAGGCAAACATGTCACCTCCACCTAAGTCTCCGCCGCCAAAGGCGAAAGGAACAGTACCTTCAGATCCTCCGAGACCAAAAGGTCCTACCAGAAGAGGAGGTCAAAATCGGCGCATTCAACGAAAGGCAGCTAGAGAAGCCCACAACAGTGGACTCTGCACCTATGCAGACGCTGCACTTAACAAAGCCAATCAAGGCCAGGCAATTAACGTTACGTGCCGAAACATGGCAGCAAGACACGTCAGCTCTATCGATGCAACGGTAGAAGCAGCCGGCCAGTTTACACAACGCGTGCTGCAGCACGTAGAAACATATGATGAAGAGGAACCGTGGAGCACGGAGTTCCTACCAGTCGTGGAAGTCCTATTCAGGAACTTAAGCGGCGACGAAACAATACTGTCTACAGGACAAGATCAAACGGTAACTATCTCTGCAAATACACAGACCTCTCTCAGAAGCGCACACCACTCATTTGCGAAGTCTAGCAGAGAGACAAGGAGAAAGGACGGAACTCTTGACACCATTCCAAGAACTCTATTCCAGCATGGAAAATCTTCCAACAGCACTGAAGGACGCAAGGGCCAGCTGTTAACCAATTGGCTCCATTCCTCACTAGACGATAGACGCGAAGAAATACAATCTCAAAAATGTCCTCGAGACAGCTTTTTTGATGACCAAAAGCTCTGAGGAAGACAGTCAGAGTCTGACCAAAGAAGAAGTCATAACCTCCTTCCTGCACACAGTACTGGAATAAGCCTTTAGCCCACGCCTTTTCTCCTTCAGAGATGAAAGTGAAAGATCATGGGAGTCCTCAGAGGAAAGCTTGAAGACGAAGCGGATCCTTCTGAACGGGCAAAGGCTAAGCAGCCACAACCGGCTAAAGCCAAGGCAACCCCAGTCAGCTCACAAGCTGCGCCAAAGGCCGAGCCAAAGGCGACAACATCCAACCATGGATATGATACTGCAGACGCCGCCTTCACCAGGGCTGAGAACAGACTACTCGGAATTTATTCAAGTTCCGAAGAAGATCACTCAGACCCGGATGAGCCACATCCGAACGTCTACGCTCGAGCCTATGATCCAAACCTGGATCCAAATCTGAAATAAGGAAAATCTCGGAGTTTCACAACAGTGACTCACAAAGCTCTAACAAGAGCAAAGTGAAGGGCTGCATAATTCGATGTAGAAAATATCACCAGACATGATCTTGTACAGACGATCTCTCTGACCAACATGCATGAGTGTGTGCAAAAGGAGGGTCCTCAGCAGTGTACTTCAGTGCTATACCTAGCTTAAATAATATGCTGTTTTCATCATGAGTCCAGACTCCGCAACTGTGACAGTGGGCATAATAGTATATGTGTGAATGTGCGGCCATGCTTCCGGTAAAAGAAAATTAGTGTCTGTTTGAAAACATAAACCTCTAAAGGGGTAGCTCTAACAGGTACCTACAGCAATGGCTGCATGCTCATACATATACATTCCGCTGCCCATTGGCTCACAGTGGTTTTACCATATTGAGACAAGACAAGCTCTCCTTGCGTAGCAAGACAAAACAACTACTGTCCGTGTGCAGGGCGCTGCCCTTTGATCCTTAGGGAATAACTGGTCATACACCTCCTAACAAGGAGTATTCCTTGTGGGTGTATAGGCACAGGGGGAGGGGGGGAGGGAGGGGGGAGGGGGAAGGGGGGGGGAGGCCTGGGAGGGGGGGGGGAGGCCGACAAATCAGGTAAAATGAGGGGAAGCCGGGCAAGGGGTGGCAAACGAACGCAAAAAACGGGTGTCCCCAAACGTTTGGACTGCAGGGAGGAGGATTAGGTGGAGGGTACCTGAGCTAACCCCCAAGACGCCTGGGCCTGTGGCCTCGGCGGATTCAAGTCTTTAGTTTTAAACAGGTTGGCTCAAAAAAACTTCCTGGCTCGATCAGGGGAGTCGAGAACTGGTTACAAAGCCTCTTTCAACTGCTTTTGCCGGGGGTGGGGGTTGATAATTCGCTGGCAACAGATGTGTGTAGAAGGGCAAGCTTTCACGGGGCGTTCGTCAGATTTCTACGAACTGAGGCAAGACCAAGCTGTATGGATCATAGTGCATGTAGCCTATGCCATACTCTTTACGATCGAGATGATGATTCGAATCACAGCTGCTGGACCTCTCGTGTACCTTTGTGGTCCTGGCTGGGCATGGAATTGGCTGGACGTCTTCGTCGTCCTTCCTGCTTGGGTGGAGCTAGCTCTGGACCTAAGTGCCCCAAGTGAGGGGGGAGACGGAGGAGCTTCAAGCAATCTCCGGATCGTGCGAGTCTTCAAGGTGACGAGGCTACTGCAGGCGGGCTTGAAGCATCCCAGAAGAGCCATCTCTGATCCGACCCAGCCTCATTGTTGGACTTGAAGCTTGCGGAACCCTAAGCCACTCGAAGCTTGTAGGTTGGTTACTTGTCAGCCGATCGCATTGCAATTGACTACGATTGCCTGACGGCTCATGTACGTGCGACTTACCGATGTCATGAACGCCGTTTAGTTGAATACTCTTATGGACGGTATCCTTCATCACTTCGGGAACATCCATTGCATCAGGATATACAGAGAGGGAATCTACTTAGAAGCCGCGAGCTGAAGGTGGTCCGATCCGTCCGTCTGATCAAGTTCCTCGGGGCCTTGCGTGCCCTTGTCGCTTGGTGAAAGAGAATTCTCGGAACTCCCTTGGTGCCGTAGTTTGAGTACAGCCTCTAAGGTCATGTCGGTTGTTGATACGACCCGGCAGCTCGCATGGGCTTTGCTGCTTCTCGGGTTGGTGATCTACAGTTTCGGCATTCTTTTCGCAGATGCGGCGCTGGACTATGGGATCCGACACGACCTTAGTGATGATTCGACGCTTTTGGAGTACTTCGGCGGGGTGTACCTGTCTTGCCAGACGCTCTTCCGCGCGATTTTGGGTGGTTTGGACTGGGAGGTCGCCGTGAACTCACTGGTTCAAGTTGGCTGGTTCTGGGTCCAACTGTTTCACAGCTACATCGCTTTCTGTTCCTTTCGGAAGAAGATTAAGCATGACCCTTTCTCCCTTTGTTCCCTTTCTTCTTTCTTTGATCTATTCGTCTGGTCTTCCGACAGCTCCATCATGAGCTCTTGATCAGGTGGATTTGCTGTGCTGAATGTGATGACGGGCGTCTTCGTAAACAGTGCCATCAAGACGCGCGAGCGCGATCACGAGACCTTGCTTCAGAACAAGCAGCGCTTCAAGGAGCTGGTGTCCAAGATATGGTCGAGGATGGATACTTCCGGGCAAGGACAGATTACCATCATCGAGTTCGAGCAGATGTTCGAGGATGAAGAGATGAAGGCGTTCTTCCAAACCATCGAAATCAATGCCGTGGATGCCCTCTGTCTCCATGTGTGTGTGGGGTCGGGGGGGGGGCGGGGTGTTGTGGTGTTGCCCCTAGCGGGGCTTCAAGGCCTGGACCCTCTTCGATAGCTTGGACGTGGACGGAGATCATACCATCAGCTTGGAAGAATTCTCGGAGCTGCTCTGCTGTGGAGTTCCGTGAGCCCTGAGCTAGTCTTAGGCCGCCGCGCGTCTTCGCCTCGCTGAGGCGGTGCATGCAACTCCACGGCCCGGCCAGGTCGGTAGACTTGCACCGGGGATGCACCAAGATGCCAAGGGCTGCCCACGAGAGCTACGGCCTACGGCCCACGGCCTATGCTTGCTCTCTCGCTCTCTCTCTCTCTGGGCCCCATGCTTTCTCTAAAGCCTCTGCAGCTGTGCCCAAATCGGCATATGTCGGGGGGGATGTTCTCAGCTGAGGTATGCTTTGGTGAAGCAAATTCATGCTTTGGGAGAGCAGCAGCATCAAATGAAGCTCGGCCTTGAGCTCTCAAAGCGCCGCGGCTCCGCGCGGCTCCGCGGGCGTTTTGGTTTTGAGCCGAGGAGCGATTGCCTGGCGACTTTAATTGAAAGGACCCATGCTTCCTGGCCGGAAGTTTTGCAAGCGCCTTCGTGCACCGGTGTGCACCCCTCGGTCCTCAGCTGAGGTCGTGGAGGACAGTTTCTCGTTGCTTGGCAGAGCGGCCTGTGTCTTGCAGCTGATGGCGTTCTGTCCCTTCTGCGGCAACCCAGGCTTGCGACTTTGTCACGCGAGCCTGACCGCTTCTCTGCGTGAGGGTCGCCTGCTGCAAGAGCGAAGATTCGAGTTTTCGCGGCCAAACTCGTGGCCAGACTCGTCAGAGGACAGGCCATGCCGGCAGGAATGGCTCCTTGGCCTTGTGCCTGTCGGATTCGTCAGTCATCTGATCGTTTATGTCACGGGCTGCTTCTTGTCTGTTGTGTGGTCGCCTGAAGAGAGGGATCTGCGGACTTTTGGGCGTTCAAGTTTCACCAAGACAATCTTCTCCACTCGCCTGTATTCTGCAAGCTGCAGATGCGGGTTGAGCCGTTGAGCCACAGAGAGGCTTCGCCAAGACCCTGAGCAAACCGAAGAACCCTCGTCGTGTTGTAGCTTGAGTCCCCTGAGCTCCCTGTGACGACCCGAAGTGGTGCGTGGCGGATGTGGCGGTTTCAGCATGCACTGGAAGCGACACCAAAGGGCCTCCGAGTGCGGCGTGGGAGCTTCGCGAGCCAAAATAAAAGCCGCTGAGCGGCTTCGCCTGTGCGGCTGGCTAAGGGAGATGTTGCGATGCGCTCTCAGAGAGTAAGCCGAGGTGGCCTTCGCCTGGGAGACCGGAAGCTGTCCTTGAAGCCGCTCGGACCGCCGGAGCGCTCCGTCGCTTCGTCGCCAAAGCGCCGCTCTGCCGAGGCCCTCGGAAGCCGAGCCGGACTCCGTGCGCTGGGCCTCCTTCGGAGGAGCGGAGCTCCCCTCCTTACGGCTCTTCTGCTCTTCTGCTCTTCTGCTCTTCTCGGCTCCGGAAGGCGGGAGCCGGGACTTCGCGTACCGCTGCCTCCGCGCGATCCTGGAGTTGACGGCTCCGGCCTCGGAGGACTGTCGGTTGTGCGCCCGAAGCAAAGCAGCTCTGGTCCGCTCGCCTCTGCTCTGATGGGACATTCTTGCAAAGAGTTCTCGCCGCCGCCCGAGGCCGTGATCCTCCTGATCATGTACGTTCTGAAGTACCCCTACGCACGCTACGCGCGGCCCTCAGAGACTGCCCTGCAGAGTCTGCAAGTCTCGCCATGTCTCGCCTCTCGCTCGTTTCGATCGGCTTCAGGTCCTGTCTTTCTCCTACGCCGAGACCGGGAAGCCCAACAGCTTGAACGGACACGGGGGGTCTTGGGCCCAAAGCCTCTCGAAGTTGCAGCAACTTCAAGACTTTTCGACTGCCTGAGCTTCCCCGTCTCATAGCAGAAAGGCTTTTAAACGGCTTTTGTTGGTGTCGTTTAGCAGAGCTAGCGCTATGACAAAGCAGCCTGCAGAACGCTGGCCTAGAAGGGCGGGCGGAAGCGCGAGGTCCATTCAGTCAAGTCTCCGGGATCTGTATCCAACGAGCTGCCGTGTCTCCGCAGGAAGGTTTCTGATGCTCATCTCCATCATTGCCGTGGTCTTTGCTGAACCGCAGCACCAGTTTCGAAGAAGCTTGCGCAGTAGGGGCACCAAGGCCAACCAGATCATCTACCTCTTCAGCGACAAAGTCGCCGAGGATCTGCATCTCTGGCTCCTTGGCTTCGCCCCCCCCCCCTGCACCACTGGGCAAAGTAGGAGAGTAGCAGTGCTTGCGATGTTCCGGGGCAGCGATCTACAGAACCCCGGTCTAAGGTACACCGAGCACAAGCAGAAGGCATACTTGGGCTTTTACCTCGTGGCCATGATCCTGGAGCTGTGCTTCGGCGATCTGGGAGGGTCTTTCGGGTCGTTCATGCAAGGTAGATTCAAGTGTGCGCGCTCTTTGCCATCTGTCTGCGACACCGCACGGCCCATGGCTCATGGCTCAGGATGATGGACCTCTTCTTCACTGCAAGGACGACTTTCAACCAGCTCGTGGCGGACGCTTGGCGTGGAAGCGGTATGTCGGAGCGATGCGAGACCGGAAACGGTGTATCTAGCTTGACAGTATGTCGTACGGCGGCACTGAGCGCTCGGTTAACGACAGGTCCATACACCGCCGTCTCTTTCTCTCTCTTCCCGTCTTCCTCTCTCTCTCTCTCGACGTTCTCTTCGCGCTTGCAGAGTGCAGACTGAGGCCGGTCGGCGGAGCTACGGTGGCGAGAAGCTCTCGGACCTCACGAGCTGGCCCGGGGCCCGGCATGCCTTATGGGGGAGGGAGCGGAAGATGCTTATTTCGGTCGGCAGGCACGAGGTGGTGCAGACCTACGTGATGCAAAACGCCCTGGGCAACCAGCTCTTGGAGCTCCTCCCCAAGAAGGGAAGGGGAAGGGAAGGGGCATGGGCATGGGGGAAGAGGGGGAAGGAGGGGAAAGGAAGGAGCACGAGGGCATGAGGGGATGAGGGGACGGTGATATAGGAGGGTAGCTTTGGCTGAGTTACGCCATGCCCTCCACGTTCCTGGCGCCCTTCATCTTCGAGCCCATTCTCGGCTTCGTGGCCTACCACTTGGGAAAGCTGGTCGTTCGCTCCCATGCGGAGGTGAGCAAGTACGACGCGCAGTGTCCTGGATGCACGGGGCATGGGGCCTCTGATTCTCTCGGCTACTGAGTCTGCACCTCTCTGCTGCGACAGGGAGACGGTGAGCTGGTTCTGGGTCAACGACTTGTCCCGTTACGGCGACGCCATCCTCAACCTTACCATCGCGGCCGCTCGGCGCCCACAGCTTCGCCTCGGGAGCCCAAGAAAGCAGAAGCAGAAGCTCAGCCGTTCCCGCTTCTTTCTCTCAGAGGTGATCTTCCTGGCCATCCACGGGGGCTTCACCGCACGGGCTTTTGGCTACCTCCTGGTGGCCCTGGAAGCACCTAACAATAGGGGGGCAGGGACGGGAGGGACGGGAGGGATATTCGTGTTGGGTCGAAATTAGACGTGCTGCTGAGGGATGTCACGTCTACATCTACCTCTTCGATCACTGGATGCTGCTCCGCGCGATGCCTCGAGTGAAGACCTTTGGACCCAGCTTACTGTGCATAATATCAGGGCTGTAGTTAACCGTATAGATTGCAAAAGCGCCGTCCTCTCTGAGAGGTCCGAACCGTAGTACCCATTCAATCAAGAGATTCAATATTGAACTTGCATCGGTCGAGAGCGGTGGGCACTTGCTTGAAGTCCTCTTGTGAGTTCTCAGGTACAACCTGATGTCAGTTGACATTCTGGCGCCGCCTGTCTCATGGCCGTGGGCAACAGCATGCCTCAGAGAAAGCCATGCATGTCGCGGAAAGTTTTGTGCTTTCCGTTGTCGCACGATTCTTTTCGCACGACGCGACGCTACATCATCGACCTTCGTACTTCGTATCTCAGGCACATGATGATGGCCATCCCAACCGGTATCGTCCTGGTCTGCGTCGCCTCCTCCTCAGCCTTCTCAAAGCCTGCTCAAAGTAATGCAACACCACGCAAAAAAACGAACGGAAGCGACGCCAAGGTCTTCAAGGCCAATTGCAAAGACATGCAAATCGGCAGCAGAGGGGCCTAGTGCAGCAGGCGGATGCAGGTGCAACATTCTGGGAAGTCACAGCTAGTTTAGTAGTGAATTCGCTAAGCTCCGTGGAGGGCTTTGGGTGAAACGAGCGAATCTACAGTCAGTAGTCACTTGTCCATCCAAGGCAAGAGCATCCGCTTGGCAAGCTCATGCCCTTCGAAACGTATTGTTTCGTGAGCATGGACCTCATGCGAGCCTCGGCTTTTGTGGTTTGCGCGCGGCTATGAGGCGGTCTCAGTGTATCTTCGCTGAGGTGTGCTCATCATGGTCTTCGTTCTGCATGCCAGTCTTCACGTGTTCATCGTGCGCCTTGGTGTGCACATGAGATAGGGTCACGGCCGCGCCTGACAGTTGTGGTATACCATGATGAGATAGATGACGGTGAACTGGCAGATTGGAAGCAGGATCTCTTCATGAAAGCTCCAAGTGACGCCTCGGCCAAAAAGGCACTTGCTCCTGAAATACATCCGGGTGGACCACTCGCAGCAGGAGACCACATACGCGGAGCTTGCACCTCGACTTCAGCTTTGGCACTTCGACCCGGGCTGCGGGGCTTTTCCGCTGTAGGAGAAGGCAAGCAGCAAGCACTCATAGCATGCAAACGGGGACGCAATGCAGTGTAGGCCATGGCATCAATGAGGTCAAACTGAGGCGTTGTCGAAACGATCATACAGTACACAGCATAGCTCTCTGTAAAGACTGCATTTCTGTCATGCTGCTGTGACGACTAGGAGTGTGATGACATTCTTGAACCAGTGCAGCAGTAAGCAGTTTTTCCCTTGACCCCCTCGCTAAACTCCAAACTGCAAGCCTCAATTCTCGTAGCCAGGCTCCAAATGCGAAACCTGTAAACTCTACATCCTGAGCCACATCCAAACTCATTCCTGAGAAGCTGCGCGCGAATCATTGCGCCACATGCTCCAGGCGAAGACGACGCCTTGCACTTGGTTTACTGCCAACCCCGTCCATTGCTTGCGCTCCGAGTATTTGCAGCTTGGCGGAGCCGGCGGAAAGAGTAAAGTGGGCTTGACATGTCTCACAGGTTGACGATTCGAGAAAGCTTCAAAGAGTTTGTGGTCTCTGGCGGTTTGCTCCGCTTCGAGCATTTCTGTGGGGAGCCCGCTGTTGCAGAGCGTGTCTCAGGAAGAGGCACGATCCTCCTTGCCGCCCGGGCCCTACGCGAGTCGGTTCCCTCGTTCTTGAGCTCAGACGCACAGTCTGATTTTTCATCTGAATCCGAGGTTTCTATGTGCCTGGCCGGGAGCATCTCCTCAGGCAGGACGTGGAGATTTCCGCCTGCCTGCCTGCCTGCGGCGCTGAGCGCGGACTCCCCGCTGACAGCTGACAGGGCCAATCCGGAGGCGAACTGCCACTTCGAGGATGCCAACTACTACGGGGCCGGAGCGAAGAGCGGAGGGGTGAGAGAGAACGGGAGAGGGACGCGGCAGGCACACACGCACCAGCCGCCACCCGCCAGGTGAAACCCAGAGGATGGCATCTGCTCAGCAACGAACGGGAGAAGACTCCCGGGGGCGAGAAGACTCCCGGGGTCGCGCACGGGTGAGAGCCGCTCTCCGCCGCGACGAGCCGGGACGACCAGCGCGAGCGCTTGCCAGCCGGAGCGGCGCGGCGTGTCTGCACCTCGAGACGGCGCCCTGGCCTCGCAAAAAAAGGAGCGGAGCGGAAAGGGGAGGGGATTTACGGGTTTTGCATCTTCTCTCTGTTTTGAGGGCAGAGCCGCGCTCTCCACGTTTTCATGCCGCCGCATGCTGCCGCTGCCTTTTGCGAAGCTCGAAACTCGAAAAGTGGACGGGCCCTTGCACGAGCTGAGCCGAGCTGAAGGAGACGCAGGGCTCTTCGCCTCCTCCTCACAGGGTCCTCACAGGGTGTCCCTCTCCCCTTCAAATTCCCCTTGTCAGGAGCGCTTCCAGAAGTGCAGAGGCTTCGGCCGCAGTCCCAGATTCAGATCGCGCATCGCCCGAAGCGAGCCCAGCGCGAGCCCAGCGCGAGCCCAGCAGCCTTGCATACTCCTCGCACTGCAGCATGCGCTCGGTGTTGCGCATACCGCAGCGGTCGGCCCACAATCGGCCTGGCACAAGCGCTGCGCATCTGCATCGGAGTGCACGGGATCGGCTGAGGCCAGGCCCCCTCGGCCGGGCTGCGCCATGCTCCGGGCCGCGCATCGTTTTCCAGCCAGGCTAGCCAGGCGCCCTGGGGCACACAGGGCATCTTTGGCCCACCTTGCTTCGTCCTCTATATTTACCCGGACCCCCAACATCATTGAACCCTCCAGATGCGGGGTTGGACGTACCAGTACATTGGCATTGTTTTATATGTACCTGGGTTACTCTAGGTAGAGTTTAGGGTTTAGGGCCTTTCAGAAGCACGATGTGAGTAATAAGGACGGGGCTCTTGGCCATACTTTGTTTAGGTTTAGGATTTAGGGCTCTCAGCAGTTCATACATAATTAGGCATGAGAAAGACATCGTGATACTGCGTGCTGAGGCTCGTAGATCAAGTTCCGACACTCGCAATGAAGAAGGCCCTGGCAAAGACGCAGCCCACGCCAGTGCCCGTGGCAGGTGTGATCGAGTCCAGACCTGGCAGCAGCGCGGGCGCCGCAGCTACCAAGTGCCCCGGACGTGAAAAGCCGACGGATGCCAACGGTGATCAATGGCGATCGCAGTTCCAGTGGTGAAGCATATCACAGTTAGACGTTTGTGACCGTTCGCCCGTGTGGCAAACCCACCGTGTTTGGCGCGTCCGTTGCTGAGGATGAGGATGAGTACTACAATGACGGTGACGATGATAGTGATTATGACCGTGAGGGTAGTGGTGATGATGATGATGCTAATGTGTTGCTGCTCTTTCGGCAGCCACGAAGACAACGGCCTGCGTTTCTGACATCGTGGGAAGACGCGAGCTGCCAGGCAGCTAAACCCCGGCTCGACGCCAAAGGCAGGGAGAGCGCGGAGGTGTAGAGATGCGTGTTTTGTGGAATGGGCAGGCGACGGCATTTCCCACGATGTTCAGCCCGGGCCTTGTCTGGGCCCTGTCGGAAGGTCTGGGAGCAGCCCTGAGCCGAGGTATGAGGGCCTTTGGGGAGCCATTACGACCTTTCCCAAGCGTCAACCCTTCGCCACGAACGTGATTGTTGCGACGGATCCTTGGCCAGCACGGCATGGCCGATAGATACTTCATGCCACGGCTATGGCGCCCCAAAGGTTCCCCGAAGCTGAGTTGTCCTTGCGTCTTCCGATTCCTAGAGCACTGCCGCAGCCCGCAGTAGGCGGAGCGACCTAAGAACCCCCCTTTCCCGTCCCTTCGCTTCACGCTTTGGGCCCATGGAAGCACTCCCAGGCCGATAGAGAAGGGCGAGTTTACGTGTTGATTTTTTGGGGTTCGGTTTTCGGGTCTCTACATGGGCAAGTTTCGGATTCGGAGTGGTTTGGGGTGCAGCGGGGTGCAGCGGGGCAGGGTTCATGGATCACGAGGCCTTGTATTCCCAAAGACTTCGCAGCGCAACCGGAGCTTGCTATGCCCTGTTGTAGTTGTATAGCAGAACCGGCAGTGAACTACGATTTGGTGTTCAAGTTCCATTGCTACTGGGTAGCACCGAAAAGCGAGAGGAAAGCTCACAAGAGACCAAGAAACCTTAACAAGGCACTCGGGCTGAGAGCGCAGAAGTTGTCATCACGGATTTGTCAGTGCTTGTGTCCGCGCTGTTCTTATTGTCGATTTCTGTTATTGGCAAGTTCTCGGAGTGCCAGAGCTGGTAGCTCTCGAATAAGTTTCACTCGGTCCCAGCAGCCAAGGTGAAAACGTCGTTAGCTGACCTCATAGCCGGCAGCCTCGGTTCCCTTTGGAGTGCATTGTGCGCTGCGTAGATTTTTCTTTTAGTGCATGGTTATATCGGTCTTCACATCGGTTGTCATGATCCATAGCATGACTGTGATCGTATATGCCCTAGGCATAGTTGTTCTGTTTTCATGGTCTTTATTGGCTTTTGCTCGTGTGATGACTGCCAGTATTACGTTCGCTGAAGATGGCGAGGTGCAAAAGGCTGAGGGCAAGGAGAAAGTGGATTGGCAGAGGCCCGACGTGTGTGGCGGCAAAGCCGTCGCGTCTCCTTGTCTTCGTAGCAATACGATCGAAACACGCTGTAACATATGTTAGGAACGGTGCCTTCACTGCCTTCGGCTTCGCTTACCTCGGTTTCGTGCAGTGTGCCCCGGCAGAAGTTCAGGCCTCTGCGGTCCGGTCCTCTGGGGCCAAGCCCCACATCCCAAATCCTAACCCGTAACCCTAAACTATACACCAAAAGCCCTCAACCCTAAGCTCTGAGCGCTATCTCAGGGTTCATCTACGTGACCCTCTTCACGCGGCTCTGTCCTCACGCAATCCGCTTTGCGAACCTCTCCTGGGCCAGGGCCTCAAAGCGATGGCTAGGAGATGTGGAGGGTAGCGGCTCCCCTCCCCTCTCCCGCCCGAGGCCGAGAAGCTGAAGGATCGCGCCGGCCAGTTGGATCTGGTGAAGCAGGCGGAGCGCAGGGAAGCGATGCGAAGGGGCCTTTTTGTGGAGAGGCGTTCTTAGACCTTGCAAACAACGGCTCAAGCAGGGAGACCCACGGATCCCTCAGTGGCATCTGAACCGATCTAATCTCCTCTGCTCTTGTCCTGGCTGCTTCGCAGACGTGCTTGGACAACTTTGTCCATTACACCTTCGTCTACTTCCCCGTCTTCTACGTTATCAAGGACGGCGAGCCGGCAGCTCCGCCCATAAGCTTTCCTAAAAGGAGCGCTTAGGGTGCTTTATAGTGCTTCGCTTTATTGCAAGGAGGGGATCAACACCGTCACGGCGAGCCCCGAGGCAGGGCGGAGAGAGGAAGCTGCGCAGAGGCCGAAGGCCGAAGGCCGCAAAGAGGAGAGGCCGAGCGGCCCCTGCTCCGCGGAGGCGCCGGCGCCGGCCGAGCCCCTGGTCTCCCGGGCGCTCAGCAAGTACTGGAGGCGCGCTGAGTCCGAGTTGAGCCTCCAGCTTGGGCTCTCGGTGGGTGCTTTTGGTGCTTCTGGATGGCCTTCCTCTTGGAGTCGGCTGGCAAGCACCTAGAAGGAGCCATCTCGGCATGCCAGGAATGCCGTGCAGGACAACCTCTACATGTGGGGCCTCTGGGCGCAGTTCTCAGAGAAGCCGAGAGCCCTGCACACGCCTGCTTGCAAGAGACAGAGAGGTCCCCTTCGACCTCATCATCTACGCGGCCCGGGGCTCCCGGAGCAGAGAGCAGAGAGGGACTTGCGGGACTTGGGGGAGAAGCTTTGCAGCAGCTCGCGCAGTTCCGGAACTGAGGTGCCCATCTGGATGCGGCTGCCGCTGAACCACGGCGTGAGCCTGGCCTGGACCATGATCCTCGCCCTGGCCTCGGCGAGCAGCAGCGGTGCCTCTGGGCGTCTCTTGCGTCTCTGTGTCTGTCTCCTCTCGCCTCGCAGAGCGCGCTGCGTGGCAGCGAGAAGTGATGCCTCGGGACCGCCTGCGCCGCAACGGCGCCGACCGTCAGCCCCAGCGCCAAGGCGGGGCTCCCGAAATGGCGGTGACAGACCGGGCCAGACCGCCTCGTCCTGTGGCTCGGCCAAGGCAAGGGGCAGCTGCGGCTGCGAGGATCATTAACTTTGATGGCTCGTGGCTTTGCCGCTTGAAGCCCCGCATCTCTCCCGCCTCAGAGACGCGGATGGGAGAGAAGCCCTTCCCCAACACCATGAAGCATTGTCCCCGAAGCAGACGACGACTAGGCTGCCATTCAGCTGTACCGTACCGGTATCCCGAAGCTGAAGTAGAAAGGGCTCCCCAAAGCTCAGTCGCCCCTCTAGACTCTGGAGGGGAAACCTTTAGCAAAGAAGGATTTGGAAGATGCCTGCTGAGAGGTATCCGAGAGATTGGCTCATCAGGCACTCCATTTTTCCAAGGGTTTGAGCATCGCTGAGTGGTTAGAGTCAGAGCAAGTTGAATGCTTGGCTTGGATGCTAAAACCCTTCCGGATCCATTGTGGAATCGTCGACGCTTTGGTCTCTGGAGCCAAAGTTAAATCCCATGCTCCAAGGTTTATACTTGTGCCCGTCTGCCCACGCATGTAATGACAAAAAGCCACGTCAGATGCTGTGCTTGCCGCAAGCATGGCAGTGACAACTGCAGGCCCCATGCAGGCGCTTCTGGCATGGGCGCTCCCCGCTCTTCCGTTTCATCTGGCTTGACAGGTCCCTGAAGCCACCCCCTCCCAAAAGCTGAGCGAAGCCCCCCCCCCACCACCCAGCTGCCACACCGACTCGCAGTCCCGGACGCCCCAAAGGCTGAACTTTCCACTTCAAGGCGCTTAAGCCCCGCCTTCCCCACCCAAAGGGTGCGGCGGGCATGACTTAGAGCCAGCCCCGGCCGCTGCGAATCCGGCGGCGCCCGGGGAAAGCTTGGGTCTGGGCCGCTGCTGCTGCTTGGGCCGCAGTCGTGGGGGGTTTCCTCAAAGAGCGGACCATTGAGAAGACTTAGACTGACTTAGACTTAGACTTCCTTCTCAAGAACACCGGCCTTCTGGCAACTGCCATGTGGGGATCTTTGATGCCACGCTGTGCGGGCGCAATCGCCCAGGTTTGCAGCTGCGATGGATGCCGAGAAGATCAACGATCAGGAGGCCTCGGGAGCATTTTGCCGAACACAGGCCCTAGACCCTGTATGTCAAAACCAAGGGGTGGAACTGCAGATTGCCTTGTCTTTTCGTTTTCCACCGGACAACAGGAACTTGCCAACTTGCCTGAGACAGGTGAAAATTCTGGAGGCATCGCTGGCTTCGAAACCCTGGCTGCACTTTGTACGCTGCGTCCACTTTCTGCTGCTGAAGCTGTTATTCCATTCTGTTCTGCCATGCCACAGTTTGTGCAAATCCCACTAGACCTTTTTTTAACCTCAAACCATGCCGGAAGCCTTCGGGGCATAGACATCGCAGAACCGGTAGCTTTCTTCGTCTAGATGGGTGGTAACACTGCTCCTGTTCGGGCCTCGTCGTCGAGCCGCGAGTGAAGCACGTCCGGCCGATTTGCGTGCTTCGCGCCAGGGTGCCGATATTTCAGGGATGTGAGGACCGAACCACGGGGAAGGTTGCATGCAAGGTTGCAGAAGGACTCCGTCACCTGTATGGGAGGAATTCTTGATCAAGCAGATCGCCAAGAAGGCGCGCCGAGCTTCTGAGCAGAACATCCTCTGATGCCAAAGAAGACGAGGCGCAGTGCCGGCGCTACGACGGCCACGAGGAGATCGTCTTCTCGGACCAGGTGCAAGCGAGCGAGCGTGATATTCGCCTCTCCTTTCGCTCTCTTCCCTCTCTGCAGGTCCCTCTGCTGGTGGTCCTGTCGGGGGCGGTTCGCATCTGCATCGGCTGCGCTCCAGCGCCGCACCCAGTGCAAAGGCTCCTGCAGCTCGCGGATGCGCTTGCGCTTGCCGCAGCGCTGTTGAGGACACCGATGCCGGGCCGGGGAGCGTGCTGAATGTCCCCGGCATGCTGGGCTTGCACGAGCTGGCGGAGCCCTACAAGCCAAAGGCCCCACGGATGCTGGCCGTCCGTTGTAGATCGGAACCGTCAGCACTGCCTGCGAATGCTGCAGGCAGGAAAGCCGGCAAGTGATCCTAACGACGACCTTGATGATTGCGTCTCCATGGATCCAAAGACGGCCCAAGGCCCTCTCAAGGACCCACCGAGAACTGAGAAGACCTGTCCCATGTGTCGATTGAATTGGCAGGACGAGGTCCAGAACATCTACAACCTTTGTCCCATCAGCTGCTACAGCAGTCAGAAGCAGACCAACCTCTCCGGCTGGCTCCGCATGGATCCTCCGCGAAAACTTCCCTGACTGGTTTCAGAGACTACAGCCTTCAAGTCCAGGTGCTGGGACGCAGGCTTCATAGGGAAGAGAAGCTTCGAAACGTAACGATTTCAGAAAAAAATCGAACAGTCGGGGAAAGAGTTCTGTTTCCTTCCCAAGGACATCAAACCCGCAGACAGCGCGGGCGCGAAGGTTGCGATGGCAGCTAGGCGGCAAAGCTCACGCCGGCCCAAAGCACAACACAGCAACACACAGCAACCGCTGCACTCTGCCGTCTAGGTCTCGCTGGACTTGGTTGAGAAGGTCTTGGCCAAAGGCGGGGCTGTTTCTTTTTGAGCAGCTGCGTCGTGTCGGAGCTCCTTCGCAGGCGACGCCTTGCGACCGTTTCATGCAAACTTGTCCAGATTGACGGAGCCTGGCCCTGCAGACAGGGAGGGCTCTGCCGAGGGTGCGCACCCCCTCTCGATCCGTTTTGGTTTATACTAAGGACCAGTTTATTTGTATCCTGCGGCACGGCATGTTCCCCGGCGTTCCGCCGGAGGTGCGCAAATGCCGATGCCTGTCGGTGGACAGGGAGCAGATGGGGCACCATCTCTGCCACATAATGCAGTTTTGTGCTCGTAGCTTTGGGCTCTTTAGTGCTTCCTGGTGCCAGGTCATCTGGCTGATTGCCTGCGGAACGCAGCGGCGACACTATGCGCCAAAGGAGACCCTTGCGACCCGGGCTCAACAGAGAAAGAGCTTCCGGCAATCCGACCATGGTGTAGTCTGCTTAGTCTGCTTGCGCCCTCCAAGCACCAGAAGCCTTGTGTCAGGTAGAGGAGGACGACTTGGGAGAGCTGGCAGATTGGCTGATTGCCATCAACAGTGGCAAGGCCGTTTTCATTTTCACAAAGAGCCCTCTGACTCTGGTTTGGGACGGGCGGGGGGGTGCTGCATGCGTGCAGGCAGATGTGGAGAAGCTCAGCTACAATGGCGAGGAGGCTTTCGGAGTCCGGTGTTCGGCCATGCCAACACCTAATTACTAATGACCTGATGCCGGCAGGCAGTACCGCAGACGATCGGCTCCCTCAGTGAGGGGGCTGTCATGGGGGACGCCCTTCGGCGAAACGCAACTGGGCGAGCCGCATGGCCATGATTTCTGCGGCGACACCGACAGGTTTGCTTCTTGCACGGCGGGGTGCCGCGGGGCGCCACTGTTCGTGCACAGACGGAGGCCTTCGGCGAGACTCGTGCACGTAGGGATTTCCACCGGGACCTGGGCACAGGTGGACGCCATTGCCATCCCGCCGAGTGCCTCCCGGCACAGGAACGAAGAGAGCAGGATCTGAGAACACCTTTTGGCTGCAGCCGACATTTTTGTGGGAAAGGGTAGAGAGGTGTGGTTGGCACCGGCATGTCACAGCCTTCGAGGTGATTCTGGATGCGCTCGCCATGTTTCCTGGGATCACCAGCAGTGCCTCGTGTTGCAAAGGGGCAGCAGATGCTTCCTTAGCCACCTTGTTCTGGCGGCCGCGTTGCACATTGGATTTTTCGGGACAGCGAGCTGTTCAGAACGAGGCATGCCGAAGCCCCCGCTGGGATGCCCAGAAGACAGAAGACTTCAGAACCCTGGAACTTGGGGTGCCAGCTGCCTGCTGCACTGCTGCGCACACACACACACATGCGAGAGATCCTGGGTGTGCACGAGCACCCATGACGTCACCACACCCTACAAACCCTAGACCTTCGACCCTAAATCCCAAGCCGAACCTCAAAGCCCTAGACGCTTTGGGCTGAGTGGCATGATGCTTCGCAGGGCGTTGTGCGCTCGGGTCCTTTGGGCACCAACGTTCCATGCGATGCCAGTTCGCACAACATGTGCTGCTCTGTAATGAGCAATCCTCTCCGTTCGCGCACGATGACAGCGTGCCGTGAGGAACTGGAAGAGCTAACCCGAAGCAACCCAAACTGAGATCTTAGCATTGCCTGAACTGGGGGGGGGGTTTTAAGACTTCGCTGGCAGCTCTAGTGTTTTCCAGGTCTTGGCGGTCTTGGCTTGGCATTCTCGCTGTCGAATTTAGAGACTCTCTCCCATCTGCCTCCTCCCCCCGTGCTTCACTTCCTGCTCTCTCAAGACTAGCCGTGAACAGAGGTGACCGAAATTTTCAGCCCCTTTCAGCCCGGTGTTTTGAGGCTTCATGGGCCGGCTCCGGGAGATCGTGATGCAGCTGCAGGGCAGCCTCCCTCGCCCTGCTCAAGCCCTGAAGGCCGAGAGGGAGGACTAACAGAGGCGCTAGTAACGCTAGTAGCCCTAGTAGTAATCGGTTAGTACAGCGTAGTGTGCGTAGGGTTTCACCTCTGTCTCACCGCACGTTTAGGCTCAAGGTAGCTTAGTTTTTTAGGTAGCCCGGGGCTCCGCAAAGCGTGATGGTGTGGGTTCCCGCGAGGGCCATAGCAGGCGCGGCCTTGCTTACGGCCAGTACGCTGGAGAAGTCTTTTAATTCCACTACCACCACAACCCCGTTCCCGGCGATAGAGGAACCGAGTGAAGTCCCTGACCTTTGGGGGGTCCGAGGACTGATTTCGGTCCCGGACCTGTCCTGGCTACCCTTCGTGGGAGCATGGATGGAGGCCGAGGAACCCGAGCTTATCGGCACCACTTCTACACC